TATTAACATAAAAATGACTTTCGTTGCATTTGACAATGATAAACTTACCGAAAAGCCGTGTTATTCTCGGTCGCTATCGTCGGTATAATCCGCCATTTTATTTGAGTGTGTTTGTCACCCGACTCCGCCCGGTGACGTCATCATGTGCGCTATAGAAGGAGGTCTGTGATTCGTTGACTAAAATCGTCGACAGTGGGTCTCGTTGAAATCTCGTTACATAGGCATCGGGTCAGATGTAGGTAGGGCGGAATTAAAAAAAAAATCACAAAATCAAAATCAAAGAGTAAAATAATAAAATAAAAGGGCATTAATAACAAAAGTAATAAAAAATAAAATTAAAATAAGTTTATAGCCAAACAAATTAAAGCCCGTACACTACATCAGATTTTAATCAGATTGTGATTGGCCTTGGTTTATTGCTAAGGTTCGGTGCGTATTTTGCCCAAAGAGAATATGAATAACAGTTGGACTGTTGAATGATGTGTTAGGTCAACTTTGGTATTTAATATTGCATTTCATGAGTGTATTGAACATATGTTGTCATGACATACTTTAATGGTATTGCGCATAATCCCCTCATAATGTCTAAGTATCTAAAATTATGACATCGTCATTTCCTGCATTCTTACAACCTACATTTACAGGATGTCGCCCTGGATGGTATGGGTTCAGAGATCACTGCTACTATTTCAGTAGAGAAAAACAAACCTGGAACGATGCACGATATTGGTGCGAAACTCAAGGACATTCAGATTTGCTAAGGTAGGTTATAGCTTTATCCTGTCACACTGTTTGAACTTTGACTTGCACTAATTACAGCCGGTGACTCCTTTGATACCTTCCAATCACCTAAAAATACCTAATTTAAGCTTGGTCGCGTCACAGTTTGTACTCGTTGATCTGCGCAACAGTCAAAGTCGCCATCTTTGTTTATATGAGACCCATATATCTCGCGCATGCGTGGCGCGACGACTACCGCCATTTAAAGCAAAAATGTCGGGGAACATGGCGTTGAGAAATTTACTTCATTAAAATTTACCATCATCTAATGTGTATACAACATTATTAGGCGTGGAGATGCCCCCGAACTCGTTTGTCGAATCACATGCCATATTTTGACGTCACTATTACCTTAGTTTGCGAAGTATTTCCCTTAGATTTCACGCATAACACGGATCCACAGTGACCGGAAATGGTCTATTATTCGTGTGGATATAATAAATGTGAATATTCAAAACAGATACTTAATCACATTTTATGATTGGACGACTTATTGCAGTATTACTGGAGAAGCTGAACGTGATTTCGTTGTTGATAAGTTGAAATATCACGAAGTAGACGATGATGGCGCTGTACACTTCTGGATCGGACTGAATGATATAGATGTGGAAGGACAGTATAAATGGTCGAGCGGCGTTCCAGTGAAGACGACCTATTGGAAATCAAACATGCTGCACACTTTTACTCGTACGTCGAAACATATTGATAATTTATAAAAACAAGTCTTTTCAATAATATAGTCAAAATCAAACAGTAGTACCAAAACAGTGCACTACTACAGTTCCGATCGGACAAAAATCTTGTTAAATTTTAAGAATGCTCTTGCACACTGGGTCTAGATGCAAATGGCTGTTTGCATTGACAGTCATCAACCTCAGTAAATACGACGGGCATGTCACCAAAGTAACCCAGGCATTTGTTGGCGAATTATCCCTTTACAATCTTTGGAACAAATATGCATGGCTGGTGATAAACAAAGATATTATACGTTTTTACTTATTCACAATAGCGTGTAATTAATTAATTTCTTTTCTTCTAGATACTACTACTAATAAATATGTTTTAAACGCATCTTCCAATGTGACTGTTCTACAAACATTACCAGATATGCACGCTATAACAACATGTTTCTGGATGAAGTCATCAGCAACGAACACCGGGACACCGGTGTCATATGCAGTTGAGAGTCAAAAGAACGAATTCCTTGTTTTCAACTACAATAGTGTTAAACCACACGTCACGGGAAACGCTGTCCAGTCTACAGTTGACCTCAGTGACGGCCTTTGGCACCACGCATGCGTGACTTGGACTTCAATCAATGGACAATGGCAGGTATATAAGGACGGTGTTCTTGCAGCCGAGGGGACTGGTCTGTCAACTAGTTTGTACATTCATGGCGGAGGGGTATTGATTCTTGGTCAAGAGCAGGATTCGCTGGGAGGAGGTTTCGACGTAACCCAGGCATTTGTTGGCGAATTATCCCTTTTCAATCTTTGGGACCGTGTCTTGACGTCAGATGAAATTGGCGCCAATTTTGCAGACTGCATTGGTGCTGGCAATGTGTATTCATGGGATAGCAACGCAATATCAGCAGTATCAATGACTATTGCACCGTTTCAAAGTGTATGCAGTAAAGGTAATACCGTGAGCTTCTAACCCGAGTAAACTAATCGTTCTTTCTAATTAGTCATGATTTAACTAAGCTACAGTAGTTGCAGCATGCAGTACACGGCGTGCAATCCCAATCCCACAATAATATGCGTTTCTATCAGCAATATCAGCAGTATCAATGTGTCATGCATACGAGATGCCAACAATTTTGACTATGTTGCCTAGTGTTCGATCCATCCATCAAAACGCAAGACCGCGTACGAGTTAAATAACATTGAACGAATAACTGT